AAGGATCCAATTCAGTTTTTCCCGTATGGATACCAGTTGTCATAGCACCGCTTACAGAACAGTCCAGCCTTCCTGTCATTCATCAGGTTTCTCTTCATACCCACTTCTGTTCCCAACACTTTCCAGTGGGTTATTTTTCTGCCTCTATGCCATTTTCACCTTTTCTTTGCTTCTTTCATTTGGCATAATGCATTTGAGTTATTTGTTTTGATGAGAGATAAATTTTGACCATGGAGGGGTCAGTGGGAAAGGGGGATTATCTGGGAGTGGGGAGAGAACTAGTAGGTTTGGAACTCTTTAAGGGAGGGGTCCCCGAGCCATGGTCCGTGGGCCAAATCTGGCCACTCACCTTTTTGTTTTTTATGGCCTGTGAGTTAAGAATGGCTTTTACATTTTAAAATGGTTGAGAATGGTAAAAATTTTGTGGCACATGAAAATTACATGAACTTTAATTTTCCATAAATAGTGTCCATAAATAGAGTTTTATTAGATGCACCATGTTCGTTTGGTTCCCCTCGTCTCTGGCTGCTTTTGTGCACGACAGCAGAGTTGAGAGGTTGTGACAGATTGTCAGGCCCTCAAAGCCCAAAATAGTCACTCGCTGGCCCTTTACAGAAGTTTGCCGAGCCTGCAGATGGATCTGTCCGGGCTGTTGGGGGCAGCTGGACGGTCTGGATGTGACAGGAGGGGAGGGAGTGGAAGGAGTTCTGAGGTCTGCAAGGATGAATTTCAAAATTTTGCCCTAGGCCATTTCTGGCAGGAGATGATAACGTGCGTATTTTCTGTTTTTGTTGAATCCAGCCCAGTCAAGTCTGTAAGCAGGGCTTATGGTTTTGAATAGCAACCAGTGATTGTTACTTTAATCTCCACACTTGTGTGTATTCTAATAGTTTTTCTCAGTGACAGTGGTTAAACTACTCTAAACCACAGATGCCAGTTTTTAATTAAATCTAAGGTATTAGAATAAATCTTTTAACAAGTATGAAAGTCTTAATTGTAGCATTACAGTGGCTAGCATTTAGTTTCCTTTTCAGGAGGAGGTCCTACCTGATGAGTTAACTGTAAAATGTGTGTAGATGTTGTGTTCTTCTAACCTGTTACATATAATCACGGGTAGTTTAATTTTACTGAAATAGACCTGCCAAGATTAAACCTACAGATCTGTTCAAACTTGAAAGAAAAGAAATTCTACCTTTTGTATAATTCAAAGGCGCTTTTTTGTTGTTCTGCAGTGTAACATTTCATCTATATGTTGTCTTCAGGGTATACATTCCTGTCTAATAGGAGTGTCTAACGGTTGAATTTTAATTGTCCTTGTAAGTACTTTCTGCCTTCCGTGAATGAAGTAGCTAAGCTTTTAAAGGCTTTGTGAGTATTTTGTGTTAGTTTGGTTAAAGCAGAAATGACAGTGCTATTGTTAATAATAACATTTGTAACGTAGGAACAATTGACTGATCTTTACCAGCTATTTCACTGTTGTTAATCGTTACACATACGTATTTAGCTACATAGCTGACAGTGAACATAGAATTTACAGACAGAGCGCACAGGACCCCTTTGGATCTGTAATGCCAAGTAGCTTTCTTTCCCGGCCATGGGGAAGGGAGAGAAGTACAGAAGACAGTTGAATGCTTTCATAGTATTCACTCTTAGTAAGTTAAAGCCTTTTTGTTCTTAACTGATGATAGTTGTTAATGTGGTATATAAAAATAAGGTGAATGAAATCTGTATTTATTTATTATATGGCTCTTGAGGAAAGGGTTTTTTTTCTCCCTCCCTTTATAGAGGGAGTCAGACATCTAACAAATAGACTCTGCTCTCAAGAAATTTAAAACATGGTTAATTGGGTTACCCCCACCTCCCACAACCACTGCTTTTAGCGTATCCATTGTGTCATTTAGTAGGGAAGGACAAATTAGATGTTAAATGTCAATCATAAGATATCTACATCTTAAAATAGGGCCATTTTTCAAGTTTCTGAGTCCAGGATATGTGGACTTGTCCGTGTAAGTGCACAGGGTGCGCAGGTGGCTCGGTGTCTCCCTTTCTCCCGTTGCCACTGCACAGATGCTGCTTCATGGCCCACATCAGGCCGGGCACCTGCTCAGGGCTGTGCTCGGGATTCGGATTATGTAACGAGTATGTGAATAGTCCCATCACTGTTTTAAACTTGAATTGAATGCATACAGTTAGTGAATGCCAGTTCTAGACCCTAGAGGTAGAGTAAAAAAATACATTTTTCCAGGGTTTTATAGGCTAGCTGGGGAGATAGACGACATAAACGAGTATAATCTGATGTGGGTACGTGTTAGATCAGTCTTACAGACGGACTTCCAGCAGAGCACAGAGACGGGAACTGGCTCACCTTGGCTACTGGAGGAGTTTCATCAGGGCTGTGAGCTTTCAAAAGGCCTAAAGGGAGATGCAAATTCTCCAGGCAGAATCTTGGGTGGGGATGGTATGGAAAGGGCATTCTGATGGGAGTTACACATTTGAGCAGACACAGGATTGCAAATGCTTGATGTTCTCAGGAATCCAAGGGTATATGCAGTGTGAGGAGAGCAAATGACAGTGATCACAGTCCCAATTTATTTTCTCTTTGTTCCGCAAATGTGAACTGTGTGCCGAATAGATGCTGCCATGGTTACTCTTTAGTAGCTATTACTCGTTATTGGGATTTCAGGAATCTTGGTTGGCCTTAGCTCAGTCAAACATTTTTCTTTTGACTGAAGTGTGAGAAAGGAGAAATGCATAGTCCATACATATATGACAGATCAACAGGTAACATTGGGCATTATTCACAGGGTGGTTCAGGAATCTACTAATTGTTCAATGGCTGGAATATCAGTATCCAGTTTTCCTAAGAACAGTGCTTTTCTTCTGTTTTGTTTAATCTACCCCATAGTTTGATTCCAAAGCTTTTGGTGTGTAGATGTTAATATTGAGTCAAATAGATGTTAAGATTTCAACTGGTGACATCAGGGAAGGCCATTCACAGTGGGAAGATGCTGCCCTTGGGAGAGGTAGACTTCGAAGGGCCAACGGAAAGAAATCGTAGAGGCATTCTTATCACAGGTGCAAATACGCATGGTTTAGCCGTCCTCGAAAGAAGGGGCATTCCTGTAGATGATTCAAATTGTAGAGCTCTCCTTTTACTTGACTGTAGATTAAATAGTGTTATTAAAACTTCATGCGATGGGGCAGGTGGAGGTAATTAGATTTATTCTTTGTTGTAGAAATCTTCATTGTCACTCCTGGCACTCTTCAAAATGTTTTAAACTCTTGGATATTTTCTTAACTTATTACTGTCTGCGCTCTATGTACTCCTTAACGTTATCTTGGGTGTGTTGGCAGATGTCTTTTTTGTGGCATATTGTCACCGAAATGATGCACACTTGTTTCATCTGGTTATTGAGGCAGGATTAATGCTGTCCCCTTGAACTTTCACTTCTGTGTGTGGTCACTCAGTCACAGACACCGAGTCAAAGCTTCTTGATCCACATTGAGAGCTGGTTGGGGGAGATGAGCTAAGTTATTTTATCTTATGTGTGATTTCTCAATTTTATGGGATTAATTTATACTCTGCCTCTTTCCAAAGCCTCATTTGAGGCGCCTTAAAAAAATAAATGCAGCTAAATAGAATAAAAGATAAGGAAGGAAATTGGTGAAAAGCGAAAACAGCCAAATAGGAAAAATCAGGTTAGGGCTCAAGAGTCCGGCTGCGGGTTCAGTGTTAAAGACAGGTCCTAGGTTTGACTCCAGACCGAGAGGAAAACGTGATGAAAGATGTGACTCACATAGTCTTTCCATGAGATAAACCCCCAGCACTTGGAGCATGAGTACTCATGGCCCTGAAGTGCAAGGAGGGGAGGGGCGATGGGCAGTGACTCCCTGAGCAAGCACAGTAACTTGGGGTGACTCTGTCAGTAGTTCTGTGTAAACGGGAAGCTCCCTGCTGGTCTAATTTATTAAGCCAAGGATGATATGTAGGTGCTTTGTTTCTGCAATGAGAGTAAAGGGAGAGCATTCATATGGTCAGAATTGATCTGTGAGAATCTCTTAATTGTCCAACATAGCAATTTTTCTTTTATCATTAAAACAGACTGCTGTTTCTTTAGGCGATTCACAGAATGGGGAAGTTGGCTTGCATTTAGGTGCCATGTTGCACAAAAAAATTCTTACCTTCACAGCTCTGGAATGATAGATAGTGAATGCCAACCGCGCTCCTGGCATAGAGGCATGTGGGAACTAGGATGCCCGGAGGGAGCAGCCGCAGGTTCCTTTTCTCCCCCGGGCGTACATCTCGGTGGGAGAGGGCTCTCACTCAGCCCCTCTCCCCCAAAGTCTCGTGCTGTCAGCCTCCCTGCCTCCTCTCCCTCTTGTCTATGTAGTTGGATATATATAAGCTCAGAGCACATGTTGCTGGCTTCTGTTTCTAGAGAATGGATAGTATATTTGCCTCCCTGGCAGTCTTTCATGAATATTATTTTTCATAATTGTAATTTAGATACATATTGGGTGACAGGGGACATGGTTATAGTCTCCATCTAGAACACGATTGCAGCTGTTCTGCTTTGATTAAGGACAGATCCATAAGCATAAACAGTCATCTGAAGCTGGGACTTGAGGTGTTCTAGGGAGTGGCGGTACTAAGGTCAGACTGCTCGGTTGGAATTGTGGGTCTGCCAGTTACCAGCCCGGTGATACGGCAAGTTACTTAAACTCCTCTGCTCCAGTTATCTTTAAAATGGAGATGACAGAATGGGCTCCATAAGGCTAATGCAAAGATTAAATGAGATAATACGTGAAAAGATTGATAAGAAGTGTCTGGCTACACGCACAATATATGTAGCTCTTTTATTTGGTGTTGTGAATTAAGGAGCCAGAACAGACAGGCTAGCCTACCTCCCCACAGAAATAAGTGTAAGCGGTGTTCTGAACAGGCCATGGGGAAATTAGATTCTTTTTTTCTGATGTGTAACAATGTTATCCTTTTTCAGAGAAACAGCGCCCAGGACTATCTTCCAAAGAGTCCTGGATATCTTAAAGAAGTCTTCTCATGCTGTTGAGCTGGCCTGCAGAGATCCGTCCCAAGTGGAGCATCTGGCTTCCAGTCTGCAGTTAATAACAGAATGCTTCAGATGTCTCCGAAATGCTTGCATAGAGTGTTCTGTGAACCAAAATTCAATCAGGTAGTGTTGTTTGTAGTTACAGATATACCTTTGATCCTATTTCTTTGTGTATGTTCATGTGAGTTCCATCATGTAGTTGACCTGTTACAGATTGCTTTGGCATTATAGTAAGATCACCCATTTGTATTACAAGACTTTGGGGATGTCTCCAGGTGAGAAGTTCTCTGCAGGCCTTCCACTGGAGAATCTTAGATGAATATCTAATGGCACAGCATTTAATAGAGTCTGCTTAACATGAGGGGTTATTTAGGTTTCTTCTTTGTATTTCTAAAATGTTTTGAGGTATTTAGTTTTCTATGTAACATGGCAATTTGAACTTAATTTTGATTCTGTGACCCTAGATTCTGCCTGCCTAAATGCATATGCATTTCTGGACCTCACTTTTCTTAGCTGTAAAAGTTTTAATTTTATTTTAGTGTTTTAATTAGCTACCCTGTGTTTACCTTGAACAAAGAACATCTGTTTTAAATTTCTAAGATGATCTATCTCAAGATTTCCTTAAGATCGTGTAAAGTTGCAAGCTGTATTTCCACCTATTTTATAATGTGCACATTTTTAAAGGTGGTTAAATATATGAGCAAGGGGATTGCTAAGTGCTGTTCTTGTTCTTTTACATGTTACTCTCTTCTCCAGAACTGAGCACCTTTCCTTTTTGGTTTTATGGAATCTACTTCTCATTAAAAATTTTAACTTGAGAAGTCAGAAGCCACAAAGAGCACGCTCGCTGTTCTTTCCTGGGCTTGGGTGGAGACAGAGCCTCCAGGCTTCGCGGTCACTCCTGTGATGGGTGAAGGGGGCCTGATCCAGAAGCCACCTGGGGGGCTCCCTGTGCCGCCTAGACAGTCTTATACCTGAGGCTTTGATATGATTAATGAGGTTTTTAAGATCAAAGGAGAGGAGAAAAAAGCTAGGGTTGTTTAATTTCAGTAGTGAACGACCTGCCATCCATTTGCAGAAAAATGGACAGAAACAATCTTCATCTTGATAATAACAGTTAACACGTAAAGAGCATTACTAGTTGCGTGCTAGAAGCAGTGGGCCAGAGGCTAGTTTATTTTGTCCTTTTCCAGGCAGGGAGGCCCTTTAGAGTGGCGGGGGTGGGGAAGGAGAGCCTCAGCACGGAAGCCTTGCCCATGGGCTGGCAGACTTAGCTCAGTTCTCTGCCAGCCTCCTGGGGAAGGAAGTGAGCATTTGGTGAGCCCACCCTACGCACCAGTCTTTGCCCCAAGAGCTTGACTTGTTGTATCTGGTTTAATGCTTAGAACAAACTCAAGACATAGCATGTCACAATTTTCCCATTTTCACAAAAGAAGACACTGGGATGCAGGTTCAGAGAGCTTGCCTGAGAGTCACTCATTCAGTAAGTGACAGAGCCTGGGGACGCTCTCTCCCACTCCCGACTGCCGGGCTCTGCAGCTGGGCCCAGAAGCAGTCTCCATAACTACCCCCAGACACACAGTGGCCCCGCTGAGTGTGGCTTCCCCATCCCTGACATGTCATGCGGCCCCGTACATGGGCCTTACCCTTTCCAGGTACCAGTTTTGTCTGTAAAATAGGGTAAGCGGTAACTTGCACACAGGATTGTTGTGGGTTTTAGATCAGGTCACCTGTGTGCGATGCCTGGCAGTTCCCGTGTGTAGTGCTCAGTGACGCCGACTGTCTCCGCCCTGCCTCGGGAATGATCGTGCAGTAAGGATTTACGATATTACTTTCTTTAAAAACAATTCACTTTTATTTTCTGTTCTGAGTGCAAAAATAAAATGTAAACTATAAAAATTGAAAGAGCACAAAATAAATCGTGAGAAAGAAAATGCCAGCTATCCCCTGGTAGGGCCATCCATGTTGTGGTCAGGGCAGTTTTTTCTTGCACGCAACTTGGGCTGAAAGGAAAATGAACATTTAAAAGTGTTAGTTTTTCTCCCTCTTACCTTCTATGATTGTTTTATTATTCACTGTTGATCTTTGGGAAAAATTCCAACCATTTGTTTTATCGGCTCCTGGAAAAAGCATTTTTCTTGTCAGAAATGCAACAGGGATTCATGAAGCCAGTGTTTCTGAGCCTGTCAAGATTCAGATCGCAACCAATCTGTATTTTTCTGGTGTTCTATTTTACGTTATTAAAGAGTTAGTCGGAAGGTAAGATGCTGTTAAGTCCTAGATCTTTTTACTTCTTGTGTCTGATCGTTGTGCGGACTGGGCTTACATTTTGCTGGGATATATGGAACTGGGTATAATACTGCAAAACAAACAGTCTGAGTCATAGGAGATTTCAGCGGGTGCTCCAAGGGCTCAGAGCCATGTAAGCAGAACCCTGTTGCGGGGGTCACTGTGCTCGTGCTGCAAAGAGCCAGACAGATTGCTCAGGCTGTGTGATCCCTGTCAGAAGTCCTTCGTTCTTCCCTTGCAGTGTGGAAGCAGCCACAGATAATATGTGAGTGGACATGTGTGGCTGTGTTCCAATGGATCTTCATTTGGGAAAGTGACATTGGAATTTCATAAAATTTTCATGCCATGAAATTACATTTTTCTCAAAAAGTTTGGCCATACAGAAATAGGCAGTGGCCTCATTTGCCTGGTAACCTGGAGATCCTGCCTGGGTAGAGGCAGGAGCGGGAAGAGAGGGGTGGGGGAGCGGACGCCAGCCTCACACGGAGGCCGCGCGAGGGGGAGCCATGGCCCAGGCTCCGCGACCCTCACCCACTTTTCCTCTAGGAGTAATTATGTTGGCTTAATTCTGATTCCCGTTGAGGGGAAGTAAAGTGGGTAGGGAGCTGGATTAGTATCCTTTGCTGTTACAACAAATTACTGCACCCTTAGTGGCCTAAAACAACAGAAATTTATTATCTCAGAGTTCTGGAGGTCAGAAGCCCAAAGTCAGTTGCACTGACCTAAAGTCAGAGTGTCAGCTGGGCCGGCTCCTTCTGGAGCCCCTAGTAGAGAATCTGTTCCCTTGCTTTTCTATCCCCTAGAGGCACCTGTGTTGCTTGTCTCCAAAGCGACACCATAGAATCTTCCACTCCCTGTCTGACACTGACCGTCCTGCATTCCCTTATAAAGACTTTTATGATGACCTGAGGCCCACCCTGATAATTCAGAATAATCCCCCCATCTCAAAATGGTGAACTTAATCACATTGAAAAAGTCTCTTGTATTTTCTGACCAGTTCTGATTCTCCAACACCAGCTGGGTGTCCAAAAATTCAATTCTGGAGCTAGCAGGGTTAGATTCCATAACTTAAAAGACTCAGTCCCACAAAGTAGCCCCACTTAAGATGCCAGCTGCAAATGGGGTACCCAGGCTACCCTTCTGGCCATATGACTACAAATTCAGGGGTCTCCATGACATCGCTTGGGTTTGATAATTCAATAGAACAATTTCCAGAACTCAGGGAATCACCTGATGGTGAATATTCTAGTTGTAGCAACTTTAGCGATCTGGATAGACTGAGACTTTTACATATCAAGACCTGGTTCCTTTTTAATCACGTTTATCTCAGCTTCTTGCATTTTATTACATGCAGCAAGAAGAAATCAGGTTACACACCTTCATGTTGCTTAGAAAGCTAGTCAGCTAAGTATCCACATACATGGTTTTGCAGCACTTCTGCTACTATACACAAAGGGTATACTGTATACCTTCCCTCTTGTCTCTTGTCTCTAGTAACATATCCCTCATTTCCTTCTGAGCCTCACCAGCAGTGCTTTCAATGTCCACATTTCTAACAGTCTGTTTAAGGCAATATAGGCTATTTCTATTACAGTCCTTGAAACCCATTGCCAAGTTCCAAAGCCACTTCCACACTTTTAGTGTTTGTTATAGCAGCACCCCATTTCTGCTACTCAAATCTCTATTAGTTTCCTCTTGCTGCTGTGACAAATTACCGAAAACTTAGTGGCTTAAACCAGTACACATGTTTTATAGTTCTGGAATTCAGAAGTCTTAAAATGGGTTTAAGTGGTGGAATTCCTTTGGAGGCTCTAGGGCGGAATCATTTTCCTTGCCTTTAAGAGTTTCTGGAAGCTGCCTACTTTCCTTGGCTCATGGCCCCTTGCCCGGCTCTGGGCCTCTTACGTTCGTCCTAAAAGGACCTTTGTAAATACATTGGGCCCACCCAGTTAATCCAGGGTAGTCATCCCTTCTCAAGATCCTGAATTTCCTCAGGACCTTAAAGCCCCCTTTGCATGTGAGGTATATCCATCCACAGGTTTTGGGGATTAAATGGGGACGCCTTGGAGGGCCCTTGTTCTGTCCCCATGGGAACCAGTAGTTGAAGCACCACCCAGTGTGGCACCATTTGAAATGCAAGTTAAAAGGAAATAATGTGTCTCCCTTTTCTTGTTTCTACACCCTCATGCAGGAACTTGGATACAATTGGTGTGGCTGTTGACTTGATTCTTCTCTTCCGTGAGCTTCGAGTGGAGCAGGAAGCCCTCTTGACAGGTAATTTACAGTGTGATTCATGGATTATTTGTATCTTTGAAAAGAGTTTAAGAACCCAGACTTTTGGTATTACATCATCACTAAAGCAGGTGTTCTGTATTTCATGATTCAGAGAAACTTCGTTAGTGATATTAAAGAATTACTGTAAAAGGGAGTTGTCACAAGTTCCTTTCCTCCCTCTGCCGTGGGCTCGGTTTGTGCCCCCTCATCCATACGCTGAGGTCCCAACCCCACCTACTCTAAATGGAACTGTATCTGGAGACAGGCCTTTAAAGGGACAGTTAGGATAAAATGAGGCTGTGTGGTGGGCTGTCTGTTATGACTGGTGTCCCTATAAGGGGAAGAGATTAGGACACAGACAGGTACAGAGGGGAGACCACGTGAGGACAGAGGGGACAGCCGTCGGCAAGCCAAGGGGCGAGGTCATTAAATCAACCTGCGGACACCTTGGTCTCACATTCAGCCTCCCAAACGGTGACAACAGAACTCTATTGTAATACAGCATCGACATGTGTGGGCATGGCAGGCCCTGCTCCACGTGTTGGGTGTGGTCAGAGCAGTGACCCGAGCAGACGGGCACTGCCCTCAGGGTGTCTGCACTGCGGTGAGAGGAGCCTGAGACTGACCCTGTTAAGTGAGTCAAGTACACAGTGTGACCGGGGAAGTGACCTCTGATTCTGATTGTTAATGACTGTTGTAAGGGATTAAGATAAAAAGTTTCTTAATTTAAAGACCAGGAATTTTTCCTAGACTTTTTTGAACATTTTTGCTTCTTGAACTCTTAGCATGAACCGTTTTCCTTTGGACAGAGGTTAATTGTAACATCATACTGAAAAAACATAGAATTCTAACATGATCTCTCTATCCAAGGAAAGGAATTGAAATATTTACAGATAAACTTAAGTCATTGAAGAAGAAAATCTTAATGTAAATATCTAACATACAAGACGATGTACTAGATTATTGGTCAAAAAATTCTTTTTAATAATAATTCAGTAAATACTTCCCTTTAAATGAGAAATCCCCAGCTGTATTTAAAAATACGATTTGATTTATAAAATTGATTTATACACAGTTCTTAATGTGTAGACTTCTTATGGAAAGTGAGGCATACTTATCTAAGTGTTAATGTGCATGCTGCTGTCAGAAGGTAGAAGGGTGGGTAGAGGTGACAGTCTCTGTTTACAGGCCGAGAAACAGGTACAGCGTGAAACAGGCTAAGTGAGCTGTTAGAGCTGTTGCCGCACTCGGTTCAATTCTCATTCTATCCTGTGACTTCTTAGTGTTTTTGCACACAGACCGCTCTGTTTTTTGAACAGTAATAATTTCTCGAGTATTCTCAAGAAATTGATAAGTGTAGGATTTAGTTGAAAGGTGTTTTTAAGGTGCTATGTATTTAAAAATATTTTTTGTATCTCCATTTTCTAATAAAACAGAAACCTCAGTGCTCCAATTAGGGGATCAAAATTCAGCAATAAAATAGCCAATTTCAGTCTGTTGCATGGCAAGACAGCTGTTTTTGAAGTCTGTGTGTGGTATGGTAATTCTGAAAGAGTTCAGAATGTGCTACCTTTTATAAACTGCTGAAAAACACCGACATGGTGGATACTGTGTCCCTGGCATGGCTGCAGGGCCGTGGTGGGCAGAAGTTGGTTTCTCCGGTAATGATGGATTCCCAAATAAGACGCCAGAGGAAGTGCTGTGCCGACGCTGTGATTAAATGACTGTCAGGGCAGAGCGGCCCTCCCCGTGGGCCCGAGTGCCTCCCCCACGCGGCGGCTCAGAAACGCTCGGCCTGAAATTATCCTCTTCCTGTCAGGCAACATCACTTCTCCCTCTTTACTTGTCGTTTCATCAGCGTGTAGTGTGTTCTCTTTTGCATCTTAAGCATGTCTTCCCTTGACTCCATGTCCCCCTCACACCGTTATCCCTTTGCTTTATCCCAAGTCTACTATAAGAGATTTCTTATTTAGTGTTTATGACAGATGATAAAGAATATTTCATCCTTTCTTTTTCACAGGATTAATTTTTTTCTTCACTGAACCAAGCAGATGATCTAACAAATTTAAAGGACCAGATTTCCAAAACTTTTATTCATCAGCTTGTCATTGGTGAACGAATTGGTTGGTGGCCTGGCTATTCATCGGGCTCCACCAGTCAGAGGGTAGAGCGTTGGGGACCGCCTTTATGTTAGGTGTGTTAAGAGCTGTTCACAATATAAGTAGCTGCAATTGTATCAGTTTAATGTATATGTGTTTTTTTCTACATGAGATTGGTACAACATAAAATTAACCACTTCAAGGTGAACACTTGAGTGGCATTTAGTTAGTGGCACTCACAATATTGTGCAGACACCATCTCTGCCTAACTGCACATATCTTCACCCCAAAAGGAAACCCTGAACCCACTGCCCTGAACCCCTGGCTACCACCATCCCACCTCTGTCCGTGTGGACTTAGCTCTGCCAGATTTCTTATATAAATGGAATCATAGAGCTAGTGATCTTTTGTGTCTCGCTTCTTTCACTTAGCATGATTTTCAAGGTTCACCTGCCAGTAACATGTATCACACTTCCTTTCTTTTTATGACCAATACTGTTCCATCATGCACGCGCCGCACGTGGTCACCCCTCACCTGCTGATGGACATTTGGGTCATTTGTCCCCTTCGTCTGTTGTCCCACCATGTGGCCCTTTAGAATAGTGCTGCTGTGAGCATGCGTGCACATGTGCTTATCTGAGTGCCTGTACTCAGTTCTTTTGGGTGTATACCTTGCTGTGGAATGGTTGGGTCGGTTTTATATTTCACCTTTTAAGGAACAGCCGAAATGTCCCACAGCAGCTGCGCAGTTTTGCCTTTTCTCCAGTCAGGTACAAGGTTCCCGTTTTTCTGCATCCTTGCCAACATTTGGTTTCCTTCTTCTGGACTGTAGCCGTCCCAGTGGGTGGGAAGTGGTATGTCATCATGCTTTTGTTTGTCATTTCCCTAATGACTGGTGATGTTGGCCATCTCATGTGCTTGTTAGCTATTTGTAAGTCATCTTTGGGGAAATGTCTGAGTCCTTTGTCTAGTTTTTAATTGGGGTGTTTTCTTTTTGTTGCTGGGTTCTAAGAGTTCTTTATATATGGTGGATACTAAGGATTATGTTGAATCTGTAGATCGATTTTGGGGAGAATTGCCATCTTAGGGATATTGAATCTCCCAGTCCATGAATATGGAACATCTCTCTGTTTATTTAGGTCTTCTTTGATTTTCAGTTGTGTCAATTTCAATTAGATGACTTGTGTTTAGGCAGAGTGGGAAGGGTACAACTGAGGCAAGAAGGAATATACACATTCTTCTCACGAGCTGCTTGAAAAAGGCAGTTGACCATGTTACTTAATTGTACGAAATTCAACAGTGAAACTTGGATTCAACAAAACAACTTAAAAAAATTTTATAGTCTGTTAGTTCAAACCTAATACCAATCTTTTAAAAAGCATTCTGGTTCCTAATAAAGTGCCTGTATTGTGTTTTGACTGTTTCTCTGTGAGAACATTATTCTTGGTATCTGTGCCAGCTTTTTGTTACCACTCTTGAGGTAAAAACTATAATTACATTGTCAAAATAATATTTAGAGTATTATTTTCAGAGAATAATTGCAGTGGTGTGACGAATATATTATACTCATCAAATTTTATGTAAACACAAGCATGAGTTATTTTAATTGAGTTATTGGTGTTATTTTTGGCCTTTATTCTTTTTTATTCTGTAAAAATAAGGTTGGGATTTTTGAGGGGCTTTGTTACATTTGCAATATTTACATAAAGATCAGTCGATAAGCAGTTTGGTAAAAGTAAACTGTCATTTGTACTTGTCTGGAGTTTTCTTTTCTTGTGTCTCGGCTTCAAACCTTTTCCTTCCCAGAACTGTGCCCTGATTCAGAGTGCGAGCTTCTAGTTGCCTCGTGAATTGTCGGGTGGGTCACTTGGTTTTCAGACCAGCTTATATTATATTGTTGCTTTTTTTGCGTGTTAAATTAATTTAACAAGGATTTGCATGTTAATATTCAGTAACGATATAAATGTCATTTTAAACTGAATTAAAAGTGAAGGTTTTTTTATTAGAAACATTTTGTATAATTTCATTTTAGAGCAGTTTTTAAAGACTCAGAAAAGTGAATAGAAAAACAACATTGCCTTATGCAGTCTACATTAGATAAACAAACACTTGACTTTTTTAAGTCATTTTTCAATACTTGTATGTATAGGAATTCATGTGTACTTGCAGTTTTGTCTTCTGCTTCTTAATTTTAGATTATAATATGAATTTAATTGAGTTTTGAGGTTCTTGGTTCATCATTTTCTTTGTATACTTTTTTTTATCTCAGCGTTTTGATTTTTGGCCACAATCACTTGTTGAGCTGCTGTGAGTGAGTAGCGGAGGCGCATAACACGCGTGTCCTTTTTATCTTTACAGCTCCCCTGCCTCTGAGGCCTTGGAGCTGCAGCCTGCCCTGCACTCAGCCAGGGCTTGAAGGGATGGCCTAGATCCCGGGAAAGTCTGAGAATGGGGGACGGGACCTGGGGCTGGATCTGAAGGCCACCCCTTTCCTTTAGCAAAGCCAGAGGTCTAGAAAGTTTAGGGCTTCAGAAATCCTTTTGCCCTTAAAAATGCCCCCTGGTCGCTGCCTGGTGGGACTTCCTTTAGCGGAGCCAGAGTTTCCGTTTCATCTCTCTGGCCTGTGGCCTGCTTCCTGCCCCCCCGGGAGGAGCCCCCACGTGTGTTTGCCAGCCTTTCTTCCACCGCCTGGGGCGAGTTACGTGACCTTCGGAGCTTTGGTTCACTGCGGTGCCAGGGGAGAAATGCGTGCCTGCCACGGGTTGTTGTGGGGATTAGATGAGCTAATGCAGTGACAACACAGTGCCAAGCACCTGGTAAGGTGTTTGAGCAACAAAACACTTTTGTCATTATTATTACCTCTGCCTCCTCCACGGTTCTCCGTGTGGGGTTCATGCCGGTGTTAATCCTCAGAAGTGTCTCTCTCTGTCCGCTCAGCATCTCATCATAGGCTCTTCCCTCGGCGTGGATTGCCTCGGCCCCAGCAGGACCGCTTTAGAAGGAGTTAGCCAATGGTGGGGTGTAGGCACCGACCCCTCGGCGTGGACACCAGGCAGAGCTGGGGCCGGGCCGGGCCGGGGGTGGGCACGCCGGGGTTCATGGCGGTTCTGTGTACCACGAACTACAGCAGTGTAGGAAGCGGTTTCTGGGTCACGTCCGCGGCCGCGTGGGAACTGGCTGAGCGCTGGCCCTCCTCCCAGCGTTCTGCAGCGGTCCGGAACCTTGCCCTCTTCCCTTTGGGCCCCGGGTCTAAGGGGGGGAGCTGTTTCCTGGAGCCTTAATCTCTGGGTCAGTCAGTTCAGTGTTGCATTTTTAGTTTAGCTGGTTATCATATTCAATTTTTTCTTTGGTTAAAATAACTAGTTTGGTTTTCCGTTTGCCTAATTTGGTGCTGATTAACTAGCTCTCATCATTTTCTAAGGCCTGTGCTTGGTGCCTTCTCTGGTTTTCTCTGGGACCCTCCTTCTCTGCCTCCTCCCTCCTTCCCTTCTTTCCCTCTGCCTGGTCTGCCAGCTGGGGTGCAACCAGGAGACGGAAACCACACTGTAGCCATTGTTACAGTGGTACTGGCGGAACTTGCTGGAAATCGATTCAAACCCTTTCTATTCTCGGATGACTAGTTTTTCTTTTTAATTACTAATGGGTGTTAAATCTTCTCAAATACATTTTCTACATTACTTGAGATGATCATATGATTTTGTCCTTTACAGGTTAATGTGGTCAGCTATAAATTTTGATTTTCTAATGTTAAAGCCGCTTTCAGTGCAGGTATAAATTCACCTTCATCAGGTTCTGTATTACCAGATTCATTTGGTTAGCATATTTTTAGTGTTTTTCACATGAGCGGTATCATTTGCCTTTCTCATACTGTTTGTATTCTGACTTGGGTATCACAGCTATGCTAGCTTTGTAGAGTTGATTTAGGAGCCTACTCTCTTTCTGTTCTCTGGACAAGTTGTATAAACTGGAATTATTTCTTCCTTGAATGTGAACTGGCCGGTGAAACCATCTGAATCTAGGATTTTCTTTGTAGGAAAATTTTTGACTACCAATTCAGTTTCCTCAGTGTGTTACCTAAGTCGTTTACAGAGGTTTTGCAGTCAGTTTTGTTAGTTTTAGGGTTTTGTTCATTTCATTTAAATTTTTAAACACATGCTATTTTAGTATCTTCTTGTTTTCTTTTCTGATGTCTGTAACATGTTTTTTTTCTGATGCCAGTATCCTCTCCTCATTTCTGAGAATTTGGTGTCTTTGTTATTGTGCCTTTTCTCATTTTTGATCAGTCTTTCCAAAGTTTGGTCAGTATTGAGATTTTGGAAGACCGGAATGTGGGATTTGTTGAGTCTTCATTTTATATTGTTTTCAATATCAATAATTTCTTGCTCTTTATTTTTATTTTCTTCATTTTTTGGGTGGTTTTGCTAGTGTTTTTGTAATTTCTTGAAGCAGATGCTTCACATATTTATTTTCATTGTTCTTCTTTCCCAACGTATGCATTTTAAAGCTAAAAATTTTCCTCTGTGTACTGTTTTAGCTGCATCTCAAAAGTTTTGGCTTGTTACATTTCTCTTAACATTTGTTTTGAAATATTTTATTTCCATTATGTTTCTTTTTTTGTTCCTATGGGTTACTTAGAAGTATATCTTTTAGTTTTAAATGGTAGATTTTCTAGGTAATTTTAGGATTTATCTCCTCAAAATGATTGCATATAAGCATAATTGCAATGTGGTAAATGAACATTATCTGTGTATCAGTCCTTTAAAATTTGTTGAGAATTGTCTTTTGCTCCAATATATGGTGAAATAATTGTTTTACAATATGCTCTATGTCCTTGAGAAGACTGCATGTTCTGGTTTTTAAAATAATTTTTTCCTTTTTTATTAATAACTTCATATATAATTGCCAAGTAGATATTCTGATAAACATGAGACAACACTCTTACCATATTGGATTGAGACAATCACAGGGATAAATCCAGAATTGTGATACTTTATAAGTGTGTAACTTTGGTCAGGTTACTTATAACTTTTGTGAGTTTTGGTTTCCTGTGCTCTATCAGAAGGATAAAAGTACCTGTCTCAATAGTAAGATTCTTAGTAAGGATTTATATAGTAAGCAATCAAGGTTTCCATTTACTGTCTCTGACCACAGGAGCAAACACATATTTTCATTGAACATTTGGAAACCTGGCATTTTGAATTAATATTTATCAAGTCCATATTGTGCACTGTGCTGGTAAAGAGAGTGGCCAGAGGAGCGTTTGTGTTCCCTGCTGCGTGCTCAGCCATGTCAGTGAGCTCACATTTCATCCTTGCAGTAACTCTGCAAAATAGATATTATCTGAATTTTATGGTGAGGAAATTGGATCTCACAAAGGTTAAATAACTTGCGCAGGTTCACACTAAGTTGGGAATTAACTTAGATCTTTTTTTGGGGTCAATAAGCAGTTTTATTTTACTGTTCTATGTGTTTTTTAAACAGACTATTTCTTAGAGCAGTTGTAGGTTCACAGCAAAATTGAGAAGAAAGCAGAGATTTCTCAGGTGTCTCCTACCCCCACATATGCACAGCCACACTGACTGCCAACCTCTGGTGCCAGCGTAGTGCATTTGTCACATCACAGTTGCCCGAAGTCCACAGTCTGCGGGTTTGGACACATGTAACGACCTGTGTCCACTGCCCTGACACTGCCTGCGCTCTGCCCAGTCATCTCCTCCCTGCTCCTGGCAACCGCAGGTCTTGTTTTAGTGTCTCTGCTGTTTTGTCTTCTCCGGAATGGCACCGAGTTGGAATCCCACACCGTGCAGCCCTTCAGTTTGACTTCTTTCACTCGGTAATATGCGCACCTTCTTCCACGTCTTCTCGTGGCTCGATAGCTCATTTCTTTTTAGTGCTAAATAATATTCCATTGTCTAGAGACCACAGTTTATCTGTTCACCTGCTGAAGGACATCTTAGTTGCTGCCAAGTTTCGGCAATTTCAGGTAAAGCTGCTATAAACATTCACATGTAGGGTTTTGTGTGGACATAAGTCTTCAGTTACATTGGGTAAATACCAGGGAGCGTGACTGCTGGGTTGCACGCTGAGAGTGTGAGCGTTTCTGCTGTTCCACACCCTCGCATATAGCATTCTGTCAGCATTCTGGATGTTGTCCAATATTCTGCAGCTCCATTTGGTGAGATATTCCAAGTATGTCAACTATGTTGTTATTAAATCTTACTCAAGTCTTTTAAATGTACTGATATTTTTGTCTACTTGTTCTAGAAGTGAGAGAGGTGTTATTACCGAATTTAATTGTGAATTTTTCTGTTTCCGCTATACTTCTGCCAGTTTTTCTCTCGTGTGTATTTGAGGCCATATTATTAGGTGATTCCAATTTTAAAATGTTATCTTTCTGGTGAGTTCAGGTATTCTTAAATGACTTTAAAAAAATCTCCAATAATACTTTTTGCTTTAAGGTATATTTTGTCTGGTTTTAAGAGGGGTGTGACCTCCTTTTAGGCTGGTATTTGCCTAGTATACCTTCTTACATTCCTTAGTGTAGAATATTTCTATAGCCTTATGTTAGATAACCTGTGTTAAATGGCATGTAGTTAGTTGGGTTTTTAAAAATCCAGTCAAAGAGTAATTCTCCCTCAATTGGAGCACATATTCCAGTTGTGAAATACGAATTATAGGCATATTCGTCTTTACATTTACAACCTTTTTAAGAAATTCTGCTTAGAGCGCACTGATGTGGTAAGGCATTTTAAATTGAATGTCATGCCCAAAGTTTCACTGTGGAGAAAGACTTTTATAGTTAAAAGAAGATAATGGAAATGTCCTGCTTAATAAAACATGAAATAGTTCTTATTAAGATGCATTTCTTCAGTGTGTTAAAAACTGTTTTAATCAATGTCATTTTTGCTTTTGTAAACCCTCAGCTTTCCGCTGTGGCCTGCAGTTTGTAGGCAACATTGCCTCTCGGAATGAAGAGTCCCAGTCTATTGTTTGGGTGCATGCTTTCCCAGAACTCTTCTTGTGAGTAAGAGTTTTTCTACCTTTTCTATCATGGTTATATCATGCCATTCATATCAAGTCCCAAACCAGGAAAAACTACACCCTTTGGTACCAAAATTGAAGATAGTGGTTGTTCTTGGTGTGTCTAGGTTCAGTATTGGCTGGGAGAGGATGTGGGGGAGGCTCCCAGGGTTCTGGGAACGTTTCGTTCCTTGATCTGGGTGGTGGTATATACATATCTAATAATTTACTGGGCTGTACACTTAAGATTTATGCCCTTTGGTATATGTCAGTTTTACTTTAAAAAAAATGAAAGTTTGGGTTAAAGTAAGAAATATTGTTAAGGACGTAAAAAGAAAAAAGTTCCTAAGAAAAAAAGCTGCCTGTGCTTGAGCTACAAGGCTGTGGTTTAAAGCAGTTTAGACGCAGATCTAGGTTTGTTTCCCTGCTTTTGCACACGTTAGATATGTTTGTTTACATATGCAACTGATGTGTTAGTGCCATCATAAATTTATTAGGCTTTTTATTTTTGTGTACTAAGAGAGAAAACTAAAAAAGGACATAGGGTTAAAGTACATTATATTTTGTTCAAGACTGTTTGTAATGAAAAACAATTTTTCATTCAAAAACCATTTGTTGACTATAATAGAATAAAAGCATCCAGTTGACAAGAAAAAGCCACAGAACATTGAAGTCTGGGCAGTGAATTAATGATTATTTATTCACTGAGTACTTATATTCTCAGCACAGGGCTGCATGTTTTGGTAGATATGGAGAACTGTAAGACGTGGACAGCCCGTCTGTTTATCTAAGTTGGTTCACAGTACTTCTCCCAGTGGTTTCCTGCTTTGTTTTGACCACTCTGTTTGTTCATAAGAAATCAAGCATTGAGATAAAAGGTGAGCCATGAGGCAGGTAGTAAGAAAGGCACTGTCTGGAAGGAGGAAGCCTGGCTTCTCCTTCAAGCCGGGCTCTGTGTCCAGTGACTGGGGTGTCTCTGGTGCGGGCTACCATATAGGCAGCAGAGTAGAAGCTATTGTTTGAATGCCCTGAGCTGGGAATTTCTTGTGTATTGTCCCTGGCCTGTGCAGCATCTCTGCAGGGCGGCGGTCCTGTCCCTGTTGGGACAGATTACTGCCAGTAAATGGTGTAGCTAGAATATAAACCCCCTGCTGCTGTCTGGGTCCAAAGTCCACACTCTTTTTAAATACCAGCCACCTAAATTCTGTGCTGCCTTCCCCGGTTGTGTAGGATTTCTGGGCTTACCTGTGAAGTATGGGTCAGGATCAGGTACACTCTGATGTGGCCTCTAGCTCACTGAGTCCATAACTGACTCTCAGATTCCTGTACATAATTAGAGTTGAAGGGGTAAAATCTTTATGATTTAACAATAAGAGCTTAAGTGGAAGGGAAGACTTGTGGAACTCAGGCTAAAGAAATAGCAATTACTCATTTTTGAGAATTAATTTCTTTAAAACATTTTGCACCCTACTGTCTGTCAGGTCTGAGCTAGATGGGTGTGGAATATGGATAATTTAGATATATTCATCACTCCCCAAAAGCCCATGCTTTGGTGGGGAAATAAAGGAACAGGTAGGCACACCGTAGTGTAAGAACTGACCTGACTGGGATAAATTCAAGTGTCATGGAAACCAGAGGAGAGGCTTTGAGCAGGGCAGTCGGAGAGGTCAGGAGGGGTTACGTGGTGGTTTTACATGCGTCATCAGATCTGAGCCCCCAGAAGCCTGTGAGACAGGCTGAGGAGGTCTTGTGATTGTATTCCATTTTCATACCAGAAAATGCTAAAAGAGGTTATGTGACTTCACTCTATATGTGTTCATAAGACAAATATAACCAAATTTGAATTCCTGCTTTGGCAGGTACTGGCTTTTTGCCCTTGGGCAAGTAAAGTCAGCACATTTTTATCTGTAATATAAGGATAATATGTCCTCCAGAAGAGTATTATGAAGTATAAGGGGAAAAAAAATTCTGCCGTAGTGCAGAAGCAGCCGTCTAATTGACAGTCAGTGTGTCAGTGGCCTTTCGAAGATGACACGACTGATAGGCAGACAAGCTAGGACTTGCCCTGAGGCTCTTGACCCCTGGTTCTATTTCTTGCCCTTAGGCATTCTGTCCCTTATAACTATTAAAGGAAAGAGGTATCATTTAATGCCTTTTGATTTTTCTTTTTAACAAGAATGAACACCTTAACGCTTTATAAATATAATCATTTTATCTTTTTCTTTAATCAGATATTTGTTTTTTTGCTTCTGAGTCATATGTCAACTGTAACTTTAATACTGAATACTTTGTGTTGCAACTGACTTTAACTGACGTTATATTTGCTATTTCTACAGTAAATAATGTGCTGATTTCAAAGTGTTCTACTTCTTCATTAGGTCCTTAAAAATATCTGTATGTGCTGAATTTGTTAAAGGGATTATTATTATTTATGTGTTATAATCATATTGTATTATGTTGCTAAATTGGGCTAATGCTTCTCTCTTTATTTGGAAGGTCTTGCTTAAATCATCCAGACAAAAAAATCGTTGCCTACTCATCAATGATTTTGTTCACATCACTTAATTCTGAAAGAATGAAAGAACTGGAAGAAAACCTCAATATTGCAATTAATGTCATAGAAGCTCACCAAAAGCAGCCTGAGTCAGAATGGCCGTAAGTATTTTGCTAGAAATGTGATTGCTTAAGAACATCCTGACAGATCACTTTCCTGTGGAGGTTTTAAGTGAAAGATTGAACTATAGTAATTGAGTGATAAGTTAAAAGTTAACATACGTTGACACAATAAGAAGTGTTTCTCAGTTTTCTCCGCGGACCCAGGGGGCCTGTGGAAGAGGTGCAGTGAGGTTTGAGCTGGGCCTTGAAGGGTCGGAGTGTCCTTCAGGTGGGCGAGGAAGGGAGGGCACACCTGGCGCAGGACCCCGCACGGCGTGAGAGCGCACAGGCACTTGTGGAGTTCACCGATCACACTGCCGCGGCTGCGGTAGGTGGGACGTTCACAATCTCAGATTGGTATGTGTCTTGTGGGCATCTGTTTGGAGGAGAAATTCACCAGTGTTCAAATTGTACACATTTACATTATGCATCATTTCTCTGTGGTTGCTTGTAAGATTCTTCCCTGTCTGTCCAGAAGTTTAATTATGATGTCTTGGCATGGATTTCTTTGGGTTTATCCTATTTGGGGTTCTTCAGCTTCCTGAATCTATCAGTTCATATCTCCACATTTGGGAAGTTTTTGGCCATTATTTGTTTTGAATACTTTTTCAGCCCACGCTCCTTCTTCTCTCCTTCTGGGACTCCGTGTCAGGCCACAGCAAGGCCAAGGCTGAGGGTGACTGTGATCATGAAGACACAGCAGGCTACTTTTAGACTTAGCCAGCTTGTCACTTACGTGGACAGGGAAGAGAAGAGTGAGCCACGTCCCTGTGGTCCTTGTCCCGCACTCCAGAAAAGGGGCTGGATGAGTGGAATGACAATTGTGAGATGCCTATTGCTGAAGGGCCACTTCTTGATGCCTGGAGCGGGGTGGGCTGGAAAGCCCCATGTCCCATCAGGTCTGTCCCAGGACAGCCTTCCAAGGTGCTAGGAGAGCCTCAGAAGCCTTAGACCACCATCGTCTCGAGTTCCGGGAGGCCCACCGAGTGTGGAGCTCCTGCCGGGGTGGCCTGTGCAGTTGTGCGTGAGGTTGGCGGGACGTGGTGGAGCAGTGCCCTGCGCTCTGCTGGTATCAGGGCTGCTCTGCTGTTACCCCAGAGGTCCCTGAGGCTCTGCAGTTTGTTTGTTTGTTTGTTTTGCAGTCTGTTCTCCCTTTTACACCAGTACCACCTCCCTGCCTTGATTACTATAGCTTTGTATAACTTTTGTAATTGGAAACTCTGTGTCTTTCAGTGTTGCTCTTTTCCAAGATTTTTTTTGGCTTTTCTGGGTCCCTTGCATTATGGACTAATTTTAGGTTCAGCTTTTCAGTTTGTTCAGAAAAGCAGCTGGAAGTTTGTTAGGGAGTACATGAAACTGCAGATCAATTTGGGGAATATTGCCATTTTAACTAGATTAAATTTTCTAATTGATGTAAAGGGGATATCTTTCCACTTACTTAGGCCTTTAATTTCTTCAGTGATGTTTGTAAATTTTTCTAGTGTTGTAAGTCTTGCATTTCTTTAGTTACGTTTATTCTAATTATTTTATTCTTTATGGTGCTATTGTAAAATGGAACTATTTTCTTAATTTCATTTGTGGATGGCTAATTGCTAGTATATAGAAATACAATTGATTTCTGTATATTGATTATATATCCTGTAAGCTTGCTGAACTCTTTATTAGTTTTAATAGTTTTTTTTTAGGATTTTTTTTTGTATACAGGATCATGTCATCTGCAAATAGATATAGTTTTACTTTTTTCATTCAAGTTGCCTTTTATTTCTTTTTCTTATCTAATTGCTTTGACTAGAAATTCTAGTACAATGTTGAATAGAAGTGGTGAGAGCAGAAATCTGTCTTATTCCTGTTCTTGAGGGCAAAGCTCTCAAGTCTTTCACCATAGAGTTTGATGATAGCTGTGGGTTTTTCACGGGTATCTTTTATCAGGAAAAAGAACGTTCCTTCTACTTTTAGTTGTTGAATGTTTTTATCCTGAAAGGGCATTAGATTTAATCAAGTGCTTTTTCTGCATCTATTGAGGTTTTTGTTCTTTATCCTATTACTGTAGTATATTACAGTGATTAATTTTGTTTTATTTTAAAACAACTTTTCATTCCCGCTGTCTTATGGTATATAATCATTTTTATATATTTCTGAATTAGCCTCATATTTTGTTGGACAGTTTTTTGTCTATGCTGGTAAGAAATACTGGTCTGGAGTTTTCTTTTTTTGAGATGTTTTTGTCAGGTTTTAGTATCAGGTTAATACTGGCCTCACAGAATGAGTTGAAAAGTGTACCCTTCTCTTCTGTTTTGCCTTGTGTTACTTTTGGGGGGAGTTTTGAAAGATTTGTGTTAATTCTTTAAATATTTGGTAGGCTTTACCAGTAAAGCCATCTGGTCCTGGCATTTTTCTTGTGAAAGTTTCCTGATCACTAATTTAGTCTCTCCTTGTTCGGGGTCTGTGCAGATTTACTTCTTGGGTCAGTCTTGGTAGTTTGTGTCTTTCTAGGAGTCCATTTGGCCTATGAGTCTAATTGTTGGCACACAGTTATTTATAGTATTCCCTTAGAACCCTCCTTATTTATGTAAGGTTGGCAGAAACTTACATAAGGCTGCACTCTTCATTCCTGATTTTTGTAATTTTAGTCTTCTATTTTGGGGTACTATAGCTTAAGATTTGTCAGCTTTCCTGCTCTTTTCAGAGAACCAATTTTTTATTTCATTGATTTTTTAGATTAGTTTTTTATTCTGTATTTTACTTATTTCTGCTGTAATTCTCATATTGTTCCGTATGCTTTGGGTTTAGTTTGCTATTTTTCTCGTTTCTTAAGAGGTCTTCCTTCTTATTTATATAGGTGTTTATAAATTTCTTTGTAAGAACTGTTAGCAGTATCTCGTATTTTGGTATGTTGTGTTTTCATTTTCATTCATCTCAAATTATGTTCTAATTTCTCTTATGATATTTTGTTTGATTCATTTAGGAGTTTGTTGTTTAGTTTCTCAGATTTGTGTATTTCCTAAATTGTCCTTTCATTACTGGTTTCTAATTTCATTCCACTGTGGTTGGAGAACAGTAGTTTCATTCTTCTCAAACACATCGAGGCTTATTTTATAGCCTGGCATCTGGTCTGTAATGGAGAATGTTCCATGCGCACCTGAGAGCACTGTGTTCTGTGCTTGGTGGGGTGTCCTGTAGATGTCTGTTGGGTCCTTGACTTACTGTGTCCTGTAGATGTCTGTTGGGTCCACTTGACTTACTGTGTCCTGTAGATGTCTGTGGGGTCCACTTGACTTACTGTGTCCTGTAGATGTCTGTGGGGTCCACTTGACTTACTGTGTTGTTCAAGTCTTCTGTTTGCCTGATGGTCTTCTGTCTAGTTGTCTAGACTTCATTACTGACAGTGGATTATTTTGTTTATCCCTTCAAGTCTATTAGTTTTTGCTTCACTTATTTCAGCTCTGTTGTTAGATAATATATGTGTTTGTAATTGTTACAACTTCTTGAGGAACTGACCCTTTTATCATTATAAAATTCATCAAGAGTTTTGTTGTTTTTAATAATGCTTCTCTCCTGTTTTCGTTAAAATCTGTTTTTATGCGTGTTTCCACATAGTGGTCAACGGGTTTAGGGCACAGATGGTCAACTGAGTGGGATTCACTTGCATTTCAAAGGTGAGGTAGGAGCTGTTAGTTTTGGCCTTTCAGTGTAAACTTTATTGTTCTGTTGAAATTATACCTGATTTTAAATAATTTATTTTTCTAAACATTCATTTGTATTTGAATTACCACTTGCAAACAAACAGAAGTTGGTACATGAAAATATGATAGCGTGCTTGATTTAGAAGACCTACCTCAGTATGCAAATGTTTTGTAAACATGAGGGATGAATCAGAGTCAGCTTGCTTAGAGAAATTTTCTGTAAGTAGCAGAATTCTGTTTCATTCTGTTGAGTACCTTGGATGTATATTTTAACCATTTGCAATTTTTTAGCAGCAGCATGGTGTAAAGAAAGGGTAAAAGGTCATAAAGGGCAGTATTTTCAGTCTACTTCAGGATAGCTCAAGTTAAAATATCCAAGGTCACTAGATGGAATTAGACAGGAAAAGGGGTGGAGGGTAGTAATAGTTAGCTGATGTCTTCTGCAGGCAGGACCCTGAATACTTTGATTTATCTGAGAGGAACTCTACATTTGGCAAACAAAAATGGGGTCACAAAATATCTAGAGGCTGCCAACAAAATTGTTACTTTGCTAAATATGAACCCTTCCCTGAAAATTAGAGAAAGCCTATTTTTTGCCATCCCACTTCCTAACTTTACAAGGTAACTGTGACATCAGCACCTTGATTTGTAAACGTTGTTTTTCTATAATCATATTTCGATGGTGAATTCCAAGATTAAACTGAGGCGCTCTGCCTCTGGCTGCGGGGTGGGTCAGTTCTGGCCCCAGAGGTAGAAAATAGTAGATGAAAAGCCAGACCTCCTGTGGCCTACGCGAGGGGGCCGCGTGCACGTGAGACGCAGGATGTAGGGAAGTGCCATACTCCTAGGGTTTTCTTTTTGTAAAATAAATGTGTTTCTCTAACGCCCCTTCCACCCTGACTTCTGCCTTTGATAGACTCTATTTGCATCTCCCACAAACGTTTTCTTCTATTTTCCATAAAGTTGGAGTATTATTTGAGTATTACTTATAGTCTCTAAATGTCCTTGTGGCATTTTAGGTTTCAGATTAGTGGAAGGAACCCCACCTTCCCCATATAATATTAGCACATAATTTCTGAGTTTACAGATTGTAGTTCTGCAAAAGAATTTAATCAATATTTGAAGTCTGTAACTTAGAGAATATTGAACATAATTGGGTCTCTTCTCCTTATAAATATCTTCATCATTGGTTTACCTTGAGTAGATTTGGTAAGAAAGTAAATGCAATGAATTCTGAGTGAAAGTTGAGAATTTACTTGTCACTTTATGCAGCCCACTAGAATGGAGTGTACATTATATTTAGACAAACAATCCCAA